CCTGCAGTGCTCGAGTCCAGGAAGGCCTAGGGAATGTGGCGGGTCTGGTCAGAAACACGGAGGTCCCGGTGACTGGCCCTGAAGGCTGCAGCAGAGGAAATGGAGAGGATGGCACTAATCTAGTCAGTATTTCCAAGCAAGAATCTGCAGGATTCGATGACAAAGTGGACACAGCTAGTGGGGGTGTGTTCTCAGATTGAGTTGCTCTGTCTCAAGTTTCTCTAGGTTGGTGGTTGTCAAAGTGGGGTCCCGGGACTAGCAGCACCTCAGAACTTGTTAGAAATGCACATTCTCAGGCCCACACCAGAACTACTGAATCAGAAACTGGGGTGGGCCCAGCACTGTGTTAACAAGCCCTGCAGAGGAGGCTGGTGCCCGCCAAAGCGTAAGGACTGTTGCCCTAGGTTGGGGGTGGTTCCATTTAGCCATCCCCCTTTCAAATGGCTCCAGTCAGTGCCAGAGTTGGGAACATGGCTACAGCTCATATTCCCTTCCCCTTCCCCACCACCCAGATTCCTCCGGTGGCCCGGATCTCAGTGAAAGCCCCCACCGTCCTGGAGGTGGCAGCCACAGGCCCAGAGAATGGAGCTGTTCTGACAAGAGGGTAAGTGCTGTGCCTCCCAGCCCTGCCGCCTGCGGGGCTCCCTGCCTGCTCTGGTCCTGCGGCAGAAGAGTAACAGGTGGCCTGGTTTACAGACTCTCAAGATGCTAAAATAAAATCCATGCCAGCTGTAAATTACCTTTTAATGAGGGCAATAATCCTGGGTCCCTGGCGCGCCTCATCAGCTGTTTCCCTAGGATTAGGCTGAAGTGTTTCTGATGGTTTCCACTTCGTTAACACCACTCTTTAGACTTGGAGAAGTGTCATTTGGGAGGGGTTTTGGTTAATTAGATAAATGTAATCACAGGCCTTATTCAGAGCCTCCCACACTGGTGTCAGAGATGCCTCATGAATTAGGTTAAGGATCCCTCCCCAAAGGTACGGAAGTGCTTAAGACAGAAAAGTTTCAAACCAAATTTATAAGCCCCATGTTGCTGTTCATTCTGGTCTAGAACCAGCAGCTAGAGCAGCAGGAGTGGATAATCGCCCAGCGACCCCCTCATTGCCTTCCATGTTGCACTGAGAAGATGGCAGGCAAGAGTCTCAGACTCAATTCAGTATGTGCCTTTGTTCCTCTGCCACCACCCTCCGTACTGCAGCTAGCAGGAAAGTGGTTTAGGAGATGAGGAAGGCTCTGGGCTCTTGACTCAGATCTCTTGCTTGCCTGGCACTGCCACTGATAGCTATGACTTGAGGCAAGTTATTCAGACCTCCATGTCCTCATTTATTTAAAAACAAAACCAAAACATGAGGATGATAATAGTACCCCTCTTGATGGGTGGTTGTGAGAATTGAATGAGATCATGTGTGAGGAGCTTAGCACTAACTGTTGCTATCATTTTTCAAGAAACTTACAATCTAGTAATTGGAAAGACACTACTTGGGAACATGTCAGCTATGCACATGTGCAGGACCACGGGCTAGAATATCAACCCAAGTGGTGCACAGCTTGAAAACTGTGAGAGTACAGGGAGGACTACACCAGTGTGAAGCCCTTCTAGATAAGAGAAAGTCATGTAGAAAGAAGTATAAAAGCGAAGTCACTCAATATGTTGGAACCTAATTGGAGAAAAGTAAGAAAATCGCTTAGATTGTATTAAGTTCTAGTAGCAAATTGTTCTGAGCAGCAATAGCTGTTGCTGACTGCTGAGCAAGCCAGCAAAAACTTACTGTGCCTCAATAGAGGTCAACCTTTCTGATCCACATCACTGTGTTGCGAAGGGTTCTAAATGGTTCCTTTGTCTCTAAGTTCAGGCATTCTCATTTCAATTTGTTCCTGGACCCTGGCTATTGAAAAGGAAGGCCATCTCTTTCACTAGGGAACAAATGAGGAGAAAAATGAACATTTATTGCTGGAGGCTTTATTATCTCATTTTCCTCTTCACAAATGCCCTGTGAACTAGTTGAAATTATCCCCATTTTGCACATGAGGGAACTGAGGCTGGTCGAGATTAAGTCACTTGCTGAGGTCACACAGTAGCTGCGGAGCAGGATTCAGTCCCAGAGCTCATGTTCTTTCAGTAGCTGATGCTTTGGGACATCTGCCCTTTCCAGCAAGATTGTTCATGTAAAGGTGGGAGAGGTGGTAAAAGAGAACTTGGGACAAGAGCAGAACTTGAGATCCATGAACCAGTGTACCCAGAGCCACCTCCTTCCTTCACCCATGTGAGGATCCCCCAGGGCGTCATTCCTGCGAGGGTCCCAACAGTGACCCTCCAGCCTGGTCACAGGATGTGTGAGCAGAGTTGGAGTGAGAAGTCTGGCTACTCTTCTCAAGGGCAAAAATTAAAAGTCTGGCTCAATGAAGTGACTGCCTCCCCACCCATCCCTGGCTTTTCTATAGATCCAGACATCTCAAGAAGATGACTGAGGAGTATCCAACCCTTCCCCAGGGAGCAGAAGCCTCCCTGCCGCTGACAGGAAGTGCCTCCTGCGGTGTCCCCAGCATCCTCCGGAAAATGTGGACAAGGCACAAGAAGAAGTCTGAATATGTGGGAGCTACCAACAGCGCCTTTGAAGCCGACTAAAGGTGACCCTCCAGGTGCCTGGCGTTGGGCAAAGTTCACTGCACAAAGGGAGAAAACTTCCAGATTGGAGCTGAGCCACATTCACCTCTGCTAGTAGCTGGTCCAAACACATCATCCTCCCTTCTTAACCAATCACCCTGGCTTAGGATGCAGGGCAGGAACTTCCCTCGAAGGCGAAAGAAACTGTACCTTCTTAGAATCGATAAAGCCATTGGTCTGAAAGTGACTTGGGAGGTCATAAAGTTTATATCCCTATCTATAAGCAAAACCACACCAAAATCAAACTTGACCCATTTTAAAAACCTCCAAGGAAGGAAGCAGGCAATTCCTCAGTCTTCCTTGTGAGTCGTTCTAATGTGTGTGATTTCTGGCATAAATGTAAGAGCTTGATGTTTGAGGCACTTACTATTCTGTTATCACATTTATTTCATCTTCAGGAGGTCTGGTTTTTAATGACAAAGCACTATATGTTTACTTAGCAGTTCTAATATCCCCTTGAGAGTATTGTTAAGGTCAGTTTTATTCATTTGGCATGATTGCATGAATTCTCGATTCTTTTACATGCAGCTTTTCTGTAGAAAAACATGATTAAAAATTGAATGTTGTATGCTAATGTTTTCTGAAGTGGCATAGTCTAGTGGAATTAATACCACCTTATTTTGGTATAATGATTTTAACTTCCAGAAGTGCTTTCCCTTCCACTATCTCTTATTTTCAAAAAGTCCCTATTAAAGAAAGCACAATTATTCCCTATCTTCAGATGGGGAAGCCAAGGCCTTAAGAGGTCATGTGACTAGATACCAGACAGTGGAATGAGATACCGGGTCCTCAACTTCCTTACAGACTCCTTGCTTTGCTTACTCTAGCAGGGATTCGACGAAGGTTTGGAGGGGTAGGAGTATGTCTCTGGGGGAAATCTTTGAAGGGAAGAATTTGATAAAGTTGGAACAAGTAAGTGACTTGAATAAAATACATCATTATGTATTTGGTTGAACCAGAAGAAATTGCTGTTTTTGTAAGTCAAAAACAATTGATTGTCAAATTCATATGGTTCAACCTAATGTATAATATTATGCTTTCCTCTTTCAATGGAAATGTCATCATAAATTCCATTGTCAACATCAGTAGCCTTACAATGACAATATGGTAATGATAGCTACTGTTTATTAAATGCCTACTATGTGCCAGGCATGACACTGAGCACTTTACATACATTGTCCCAATCTTTCTAACAACTGAGTTAGGTGGTCTTACCCATTTAATAGACAACAGTTTAAAGTGGTTAAACAATTAGTCTGAAGACACATAACCCATATGGGCAGCAGGCTTCAATGCCCGTGTTATATTTACTCTCTCACACAGTATAGTTCAGAATATAGAGAAAGATCAAGGTTAGGAAATAATTTTCATCTCAAATGCTAAACACGGTTGCTTGGCAGAGGCTGCCTGGAGTGCCGTGTGGAGATGGAATCTGAGATACAGGCCTGAGGGATCAACTGGTAATGCCTGTTTGTGGAGGGGATGAGTGGCATGCGCCTGTGTATTTGTCATCTGTAGCCTCAATTCTGCCCAGAAGGCTTGTTTTCTAATTCAGAAGCTTAAATTAATCCAACCAATTTAATAACTGGAGACTCCATGGTGAAATTTAATCTAAGACTAGGTTGGAAATTGCCATGTCTTGGTGCAAAGAAGAACTTGGCTGCATTACTGGTCTCCGACTCAACTGTTAGTCATATGCTGCTGCTCTGTGGCCACGTGTTGCTTTTTTGCTAAGTTGCCTGTTTCCATATCTCCAGGTGAACGTAAGAAGGCATGGGGGGATAAGAGGACCAGGCTTCTGGGCTCTCACCCTGCTGATGTCTGCCCTTCAACAGTTGTTTTAACTCTGAACACCCAATCCTCACATCAGAACATGATTTGGAGACTTGGGCGTCAAGTGTTCCTTCAGTGAGGGCCTCGTCTCACTGGACCGTCTAATAGTCTTACATAGTACAGACAGCAGGGCCCAGAGCAAAGTTAGGGAGCAAACAGATGATATATGCTGGACCTATCGGAGTATCCTAAGATTATTTATTTTAACTTATTTAATTTATAACTGACATTCTTTATTTGTATATGGCAGCTGGAGATTTCTGTAGGATGGAACTAATTTATTTTTAATTTAAATATTTCATGATGAAGTTTGCTTTGTATAGAACATTTTGATTGGCCAATTCAAATAAACATAAAGTACGCTTTGTTCGTGACATTAATAAACCACCGCAAGAGTGTGCCTGAGGCTCCCTCATTGAGTGTGAGAAGGCTTTCACAAAGGGAAAGAATTGTGCATCTGGACCTCATTGCTCCTTTACCTAAATGAAAAGGATTGTGAGAAAGAACCCAGCGTGTTCTTTCCATCCTAAGGCAATATCTGGTTTTGATATTATGGGTCTGCCCAGCAGTCCACACCAGAGCCATTTCTCACAGGGCCTGGCCTGGCATGACCTGTCCTCTCTGAGCTCCCTCTCCTCCCTGCTGATGCTTGACCCCTCAGCCCCACGAGAAACCCCAGGGGGCCCATTGGCCATGCCCAGCCTGCTGGCCTTTCAGCCCCGAAGCTGGGGGAGGCGCAGCCTTTCTCCTCTGTACCCACCTCATGTTCAGCCTCACTGGAGACTGCCCCCGTGACTCACGTTACAGCCACTTGCAGAGGGACGCCAAGGCTAGCTGCAGACGGCTCTCCGGGAATGACGGAGCCTGGAGTCTTCTCGAGCCAGAGGCAACAAGGTTTCCAGGACATTTAGGGTAATAAACTTGCCTCTGTTAGGACCAAGTCCAGTCAAATATTTCAGTTCTTACTGTGTGCTCTCTGTGGCAGTCCCCCACCCTGCCCCATCCTTGGGTTGCCTTCAGAGCAGGCAGATGGGCAGTGGGTAGGAACAGCAGCAGCAGCCAGAGCCCAACTTTAAAAGGAATCATGTGACATATTGTCTCTGACTCTAAATTGGCAGAGACCTAGAGACAAGCAAGGAAAAACACAGACAAAAAGATGACTCTCCTAAGGATTAGAATTGCATTTCGTTTTTAACTTCTTATAAGAATGTCAGCCTCTGTTGAGGGGTTTGTGGTGAATGCATTGCCACAGTGCACAGGGAGAGAAATCTCACTCTGCAGACCAGACCACGTGCCTAGAAAAAAAATTTTTTTTGGTCACTTTGGATGTGGGACAAGACTCACACCTATTAATATCCTTTGTTGGGAGGGAGCATGTAGGTTGGGAAAAGGGGTGTGCTGCCAAGAGACTGGCAGCAGAAGGAACTTGACACGTGACTCGTTCATGAGGGCGGCTGGGCCTGTGCCAACCTGGGTCCCAGCCCCTCGTTGGGGTCTGTGGGGGAGACAAGTAGAGAGGCTCACATCGTCTCCCATTACAGGCCCTTCCCACACCCCTCACCTTCCTGGAGACCTCAGAAGTCCGGGGCTGGCCCCCTGGAGCACAGGTTGCATGAGGCTAAACCCTCTTCCCCAGGGGCAAACAGCCAGGCCTTTGCCTGTCAGCCTCAGAGGGGCCTGGACTTTTCCAGAAAGGACAGGGGGATCTGGATCCTGCCCAGCCCCAAATTGGGGTACCTGGAATTCTGAGCAAGTGCTGACCAACGTTGCGGACTCCAACCACAGAAGAGCAAATTGAGTTTCCTTCACTTTGGCCACTTGGGCCAACACTCTTCAGGGAGAGACACCACCCCCCCACCTTCAACATCAACCGGCCTTTGCTCATATCGGACTCCGCAGACCTCAGATTCTACCCAGCCCAGAAATTTTGTGGGGAGGGTGTGCGGGAGGCCATCAGGAGTTAATCAGCAGCCCCTGATGAACAAGACACAGCTATTTCTAAAATCAAGTGCCACAGCCAGTGTTCCAAGTGTGATCACATTCTCCGGGGGACAACATTCAGCTATAGGGCAAGAGGCACTGCAAACAGTGGAAATAACTTCTTTGTTTCACTCGGGACTAGTCCTGGCCACAGCAAAATGATGGTGAGGGCAGGCTTGTTCTTAGTGTCTGCCCACCCCCAGCCCAGCCATCCTTCCAATCAGCATAAACAGACACACACCCCTTTTTTTCCTGTTCATTTCCCCACACCCTGCTCCTTGACCTCTAGTGGGGCCTGAGCCCTCATGGTATCCTCTGCCCACACAGGACCCCCCGTCTTGGGAACCCCATGCTCTGAACTTTCCCAACTGCCAGAAACTCATCAGCTAGGAGAGCTTGAGAAGCTGTTGAACCTCGTGGAGACTCTGTTTTCTCAGAAGTTGAAAAGAAAATGTAGTATCTTCCTCCAAATGTCCTAGAAAAGATGAAACGAAATAATTGGCATCAACATGCAACCGGTACGCACCAGTATGGCGGTGCATGTGTGAAAATGTCGGAGTGCTTTCAGAGTGTCTGTAATGGCCAATGCCCAGAGCTCCCTGAAGCGGCCCTCAGCCCGGCCCAGCCCCTCCCCAGGGATTCTTGCAGACCGCCCCATGGATCAGCAGCTGTGGGTAATGCCTGGCACTATGGGGGGGGGGGGGGGGTAGGGAGGCCTTCAGGACCCACTCAGTGCTATGGCTGGCGTTTGTTCTCATTGGTCTTCTGCCTATGCTACACCAGTTGTTAAAAATTTGTCCTTTCCTCCTGGAGACAATGCATTGGAACGTGCCTGTCTTATAAGTTGAGACATAGACCACATAATTGTAAGGTGGGCTATAAGGTTTGGAGAGGTAACCCTTTAAACTGTTATCAGTCATTTACGCCTTAGAGTAGGTGAGTGAAGGAATGGAGAGATTTTCTTAGGGACCAGGAGGTAGGGTGAAATGCTGAGGAAAGGGAGAGTTGAAAGGGCCCAAAGGGAAAGCAAATTCAGGCTACTTTCTTCACTTTGTCTAGAGTCCTGCTTATCCCCCACCAGCATTTTAAATTCCTTGGGTTCAAAGTGCAATACTCCGCAGAAGCAAACATGCTCCATGAAGGAGAAAGGAAACGGCCACCACAGGTGGTCCTGCAGGGTCCCACTCACCAGTACCGGACACTGTGACACCTGGACGTGTAGGGTGGTGGGGATGAGCACCAGACTCAAGGCAGGAAGACTGGGTCTAAGACTCAACCCTACACTGACTTGCGGTGTGCCTGTGAGTGTGTGTGCGTGTGTATTGTGTGTGTCTCATTGGTCCAGCTGTTTGAGTTTTTTTGATCCTCCATTGTCATCTGTGAAACATGGGTCGAATCACCTGGCTGGTGGACCTACAGGCCGATGAAAGATCAGAAGGGAGCTGGTGCATAAAAGGCTTTGTAAATTGTGAATCGCCCTTCTAACATATGGTGATATGATAATCCACTCCATTCAGAAAGCAGTGGAGCTGGGAGTGGGGAGAAGTGACTCAGGAAGCTCAAGACAGTGTAGGGGCTGAAGAGCTAGTCAGGGACCAAAAATAGAGTCGTTTTCAGAGCCCTGGGCCAGACTCCTGGGGCCAGGCCTGTCAGTGGCTGGGATCAGGGGCTCCAGGCTGACCAGGCCCCAGGCTACCTGCTCCCCCCGGGTGTGGCCTGTGGGGCCAGCGCCTGCAGTCTGAGGTGGCCGCACGCCCAGCCAGGTCAGTGCAGGCCAACAGCCCTGGGCTCACAGGCAGGAAGCAGAGGGAGGAGACCACTCCTTTGACTTCACTGGGAATTCAAACGGCTTTCCCTACCCAGGAGCTGCCTGCCCACTGCCAAATACTCCCCTGGCCTCCTGCCCACATTCCCTACCAGCAGAACCAGCCCTCAGATGAAATGTACAAAGTACGCTGGCCCGGAGACCACAGGTCCTGCCCGCATGCTCCAGCCGCGAGGAGGGAAGCTGGCCCCTGCCCACCCTGCCTCGGCCGAGCTCTGGCCCTTTTGTTCTGAGGCAGGTAGCGGACACGGGTGCCCACAGGAGTACAGACTGAAGAACTGCCGAGGGATCGAGGTCTGGAGGCAAGCTGGCCTGCGTGGGTGTAACCAGGCAGGGACTCGATGTTTCACAAACAAACACAGCTCCAAAGCATTCCTGCCGCTTGCTCAGGCCAAGGAAAGCAAGGTAATAACTCAGGGAACAGTGACCTCATCGGGAAAGCAGGCTGCCCAGTCTCACACACAAACCCCACATCCCCAAACAACCCGGCCGACTCAGTCTGTCACGAAAAACTCCAGAGAGGCACTGCCCCGCGGAAGGAGCAGGTGGCGGGTTTAGAGCAGGCGGGAGCGAGGGGCGGGGGGGGGGGGGGGGGGGGGGGGCGGGGGGGGGACACCTTTCCTCCTGCTGCGGAGGAGCCCCGCCCCAAGGGAGAGAGCTAGGGCATGGGGGGCTTTTCAGCTCCAGGGTCCTGCCCTCTTGCCACAACGTAAAGAATCCAGAACAAAGGCAAAGCTGTTGGTCACCTCTGCTCCCTAGGGCGCTGGCCAGCTCTCGGCGTCAGCAGGCCGCCTCGGCCACCGCTGGGAGCTGGGTGCTGTTGTGAAACCGCTCGGCCTGGTCCTGTTTCATTTCGCCCATCTGCTGCTTTGTTCTTCCTCAGGACGTGGGAGAGGTGGGGACTGGGGAAGGAAGTAGCAAGCAGGGAGGAGAAGGGGTGCCTGGATGTTCTGGCTGTTTATTCCCTGCTCCTTCAGCCGGAGGAGAGGAAGGGCAGAAAACCATCCCTGCGTTTGAAACTGAATAAACACACCCCAGGGACGCAGGGCTGTGTGCCAGGGGCTACCTGAAGCCACAGGTAGCACATCTTCCTGGGCCCTCCAGCTGGGGTGTGGTAGACTTGGTTACACTAAGAGAAATGCCTCTATATTGACAGGAGCCGACATTTATTGGGTATTTACCATGCGACAGGCACTGTGCTAAGTGCTTAAAGTGCCTTTAGCTCTTGCAACCCTCCAAACAAGGCTGTGAGATAGTTCTTTCCTTTACCCCCTTCATTGATAGAGGCTTCGAGAGTTCAATAGCTTGTCTGAGGCCACACAGCAGTTGGTGGCAGGCCTGGAGATGAACCCGGACAGTCTGACTCTGGAGCCACTGCGTGTAGATGCCCACTTTGTACAGTGCCCCAAGAGGCCCTACCAGGGGCAAGTGCCATGTGCCCTGACACAGGGGCTTTCTCCACACAAAGACACGGTCAGCTTGCCCTGAAGGGGCAGAGTCCCAGAGGGGCAAACTTCACTCACATAGCCTGAGGCTCTCTCTGGAGGTGTTGTACCAAAACAACAATAAATCATATATATAAAATATTATTTATAGATAAATCTTTTTCTTCTTAAACAACTCAGTCCTAAAGCAGTCTGGCCTGGCAAAGCAAGCTAGGCATCCAGGCAGGGGGAGGGGACAGAACCACAGTGACATAGAGGGGAGGAGGGCTGGATCCTTTTGAGATAAAGGACATTAGTGGGACAATTGGAGAAACTTGAGTGGGGTGTGCGGATAGATGGCAGCCATGATCCAGGCAAGTTTCCTGATTGGAGGGGTCTGTCAGGGTTACGTAGGGGATGTCTTTATGTGGAGGGCATCATGCCAGCAACTTACCCTTAAATTTTTTTCATTATTACTTTTACCTTTTCACTTACTTTTAAAACAAACTAGCAATGTATTGTATATATTCTCATTGTAAAAAATATCAAGCAACACAGAAGCTATTCATTAAAAAATTTAAGTCTTCTCCTCTCCCCTTCAGTCTAAGTCCTTTTTTCAGAAGTCACCACTATCCTTGAGGTGGTGTCTTTATAGAATACAAATATATAGCTAAGAGAGTAGATCTTCAAAGTTTTCATCACAAGCAAAAAAAGCTGTAACCATGTGAGACGATGGATGTTAACTAAACTTATTGTGGTGATCATTTCACAATATACACACACATATCAAATCATTATGTTGTGCCCCTTAAACTAACACGGTGTTGTAAGTCAATTATATATCAATAAAACTGGAAAAAATAAAATTGTCAACAATTTTTTTTTAAGATTTTAATTCTCACCATAAAAAAGAAACACTGTTGTTAAGCTTTCATTACATTGGTTGTTAAAGTCACAAAATGTTAGTAAAATATAGGTTGCTTTTGGGGAATAAAACAAATATATAGGCAATTTACTTTTAAGTAGTTCAGGAGAAAAAATGTTCTCTGCACTGCACTTGCAATTTCTCTGTACGTTTGGGATTGTTTCAAAAATTTTTTTAATTAAAAAGCAAACACACACAGGGGCCAGCCCGGTGGCGCAGTGGTTAAGTGCGCACTCCGCTTCAGCGGCCTGGGGTTTGCCAGTTTGGATCCCGGGTGCAGACATGGCACCACTTGTCAAGCCATGCTGTGGCACATGTCCCACATATAAAGGGGAGGAAGATGGGCACGGATGTTAGCTCAGGGCCAGCCTTCCTCAGCAAAAAGAGTAGGATTGGCAGCAGATGTTAGCTCAGGGCTAATTTTCCTCAAAAAAAAAGCAAACACACACAAAACATAAGCCGTGAAAAAAAATTTGCTCTTAGGTTCGAAACCCCCAGGTATATCTTCATGGTCTTCTGCCATTAGAAGCACTAAAGTGAAAATGTTTGGGAAGTCCAGCCACACCCAAGCCAAGCTGTCTGGAAATACCAGGTACTCTGAGCTCCCCCCGGAGTTGAGGGTTCCTTCCTGGTGGATCTACGCTCCCCGGGGCTGCTCACATCCTCCCACCTTCACTTGGGAGTTCAGCAGAAAAGATGACATAAGGGGCAACGCCAGGGACTGCAGGTTCTCCACCGTCTAGATGCTCACACCCACCACTCTCCACTCCCACCCAGCACTCCCAGAGCAAAAATGGCTGCAAAGTCTCATCACACTTTGTTGATTGCAACAGAAAATCACTCTAACGGAAGAAATGGTCCTTGTACTCTGGGTTCCCTCTCCACAAGGCAGGCACTTTTCCGGCACTATTATAATGCTGATGGAGAAATGTTGTGGGAGGGAGGGTGATGTGAGAAAGTGCCAAGCCTGAGGGTGGCATCCACAGCCTGGGAATGTCCAGGCTCTCAGAGTGTTGTCCCTACACAACTTCTGTACCTTGAAGGCTGCGCCTACCTGCTTCTCTGGGCTCAGGACAAACGACAAGGATATTTTCTGCATTTCCAATAATCTAACTGTTTCTGTTGGATAGTCTTTCATTCTAAGGACCAAGAGAAGTGTAGAAACGCCCTCAGTGTTCCTGACCAGAAACATAGCTAATTTTCAGAGGGAGGAAATGCTGCCTGATGCTCCAGGGAGGCAGGAGAAGCAAGTCAGGCCCTCAGCCAGCTCATTACTCAGCAGGTGAGCCGATTGCAAAAGACAGTGGTTGTCATCCCAGAGTCCAGGGCAACAGCACAAACAGTGTGGAGGTGTACAGGTCAGTGGCCTGGGCTCCCTCACATAAAACCCCTGCATCGTGTGTGCTGGGAGGGGGTAGGGCGCAGAAAAAAACAAGTAGGTTTCTTGATGTGAGAACATTTCTCCAGGCTTGGAACATTTCTAGGCTGCCCACTTTGACTGGAAATGCAGTTAATAAAAACCCATGGGCCTAATTCCCACCCAAGAAATTCATGTACTGCTGGTGAACTCCAGAAGGAGAGCCCCGCCCCCACCGAGAAGCCTGGATTTCTGACAGGATTTATGAAACACACTGTCCTCCAAATTTAACATTGTGTTTTGAAATGCAATCCCTGCCTTCCCCATAAGACACCAAAAAGCAAAAGTTATCTTGGGGAAACACTGAATTTAACAGTGCCTAAATTGGAATTAAGGGGCAAGCAAGAGGAAGCAGAGGTTAGGAAATACGAGCTAGCAGAAGTGAGCTGGGAATCAGATGTGAGAATCTGAGATGGGAGAAAGAAAAAGAGAAAAGAGAAAGAACTTAAAGAAGCTTAGAATCAGAAACCAGGATATTTCAGACAGGATAAACTGACTACTCAGAAAACTGTGCTGGACTCTGGGAAGGCAAAAATGAAAAAATAGTCCTTTCTTTTGAAAAGTGCAACAGTCTAGTGGAAGACACCAACATAAACAAATTAGGAAACCATGTGATCTGTGTTACAATTGAGGCATTTACAGGCTGCTAAGGGAAAATAAAGGAGTGATCATCTGACTGGGGGAGTCAGGGACATTTGAGCTGGGTATTGAAAGATGAGTACCAGTTTTGCCAAGAAAAGGGAAAGGGGAGTGATGTCAGCATCATGGCAGAGGGAGTTGTTCCCTTTGTCTCTCTCCTCTAGGTTACAACCAGTAGGACATCCTTAGACCAACAAAGGACTCTCTGCATAGCACACGAGAACACCTGAGAGATCCGTACATCTATACATCTGAAGGGGGGTGGACTGGACCTCTTGGAGGCAGTGGAACTAGAAGAGCAGAGGTGGCAGCTCCCGAGACTGGAGGTTCCAGGATCTCAGGTAACACACACAAACAGAGGCTGTAGGAATCCAGACAGCTGTGGCCCTAAAGGCACCAGGAATCCACTGTGGGCCTCACCCGCAACCAGAGGCTCCAAGAACTGCAAGATACCTGTGACCCAGCCCCGTCCCACTTCGTCTGCAGTGGTGCCTCTGACACTGGTCCTTCCAGCAGTGGGGGCTGCATCCAAGACCCCAATATCCCGGGCAGCAGCAGTGGTACCAGTGACCTGAGGTTCTGAAAAGCCACAGCAACCAGAGACCAGAGGCTGCAGGAAATGCAGTGGTACTCGAGAACTGCCCCCCTCCCACTTCTCCAGTGGCAGAGCCTCCAACATCAGCCCTTCCAGCAGCAGGGGCTGCATCCAAGACCCCAGTAGCCCCAGCAGCAGCAGCAGTGCCCATGAACTGAGATTCCAGGAGTTGTGCCAGCACCCAAGACCAGAGGCTGCAGGAGCTACAGCAGCACTCGTGGGTCAGCAACACACCCAACACCCCTCAGCAGTGGTAGGTGGTGTCCACAACCTGAGGCTTCTGGAACCACAGGAGTGCCCAGGACCTAGCCCCTGGAAGTGGCACCCCCCACACCAGCCCTGCAGCAGTGGGAACTGCTTGCAAGACCCTGGCTCCTGGCAGCAGCACTGATGCCTGTGGCCTGAGTTCCCAGAAACTATGTAGGCTCCAGAAACCAGAGGCTTCAGGAGCCCTGGCAGTGCTCACAACCAAGGTATCCCTCCCGCTGTGGCAGTGGCAGTGTCACCCATGACCCTGGCCCACCTAGAAGTGGCAGCAACATCTGTAAGCCCAGCACCCACAGCAGTGGCATCGCCAGCACCCCCAGATAACCCATGAGCAGCAGCACAGGTGGTGCCTGCAGCAGTAACACCAAAAGACCTTCTCGAAGACACATTATATTAAAACTGTCAAAAGTCAGTGCCAAGGAAAGAACATTAAGGGTGGCCAGAGAGAGGAAAATAGCTTACAAAGGAGCCCACATTAGGTTATGAGCAGATTTCTCACCAGAAACTCTACAGGTTAGGAGAGAGCGGAATTATATATTCAAAATACTGAAAGATAAAAGCTGTCAGCCAAGAATACTCTACCCAAAGTTATCCTTTTGCTGTGAAGGAGAAATAAAGGCTTTCCAAGACAAATAAAAGCTGAGGGAGTTCATTGCCACTAGACCTGCATTTCAAGGAATATTGAAAAGAGCTCTCCTACCTGAAACAAAAAGGCAAAGGTATACACAGCTTTGAGCAAGGTGAGAGACACTTAGAACATTGCAACTCTATACCAGCATAGGTTAGTAAACACTAAAGAGAAAGAAAGCATTAAAAACAACTATAACCGCTTCAATTTGGTAACAAACTCGCAACACAAAAAGGGATAATTTGTGACAACAAAAACATAAGAGGGGAAGAGGAAAAGGAGGGAATCTGCATAAACATACAGAGGAAAGATGCTATCAGCACAAAAAGGACTATCTCATCTATGAGATTTTTTATACAAACCTCATGGTAACCACAAAACAAAAATTCAGAGCAGGGTCATAAAACATAAAAAAAAAGAGGAAATTGAGAAACATCACAGGAAACCACCAAACTGATATGGCAAACAGAAACACAAGGAAAAAGAAAGAGTAGAAATATAGAACAACCAGAAAACAAAAGATTAAATGGTAGTACTAAGTCATTATATGTCAATAATCACTCTAAATGTAAATGGACTGAATTCACATCAAAAGACACAGAGTAGCTGGATGAATTAAAAAAAACAGGACCCAACAATATGCTGCCTCCAGGAGACACACCTCAGCTCTAAAGACAAACATAGGCTTAGAGTGAAGAGATGAAAGACAATACTCCAAGCAAAGGGCAACCAAAAGAAAATGGGTACAGTCATACTTATATCAGACAAAACAGACTTCAAGCCAAAAAAGATAGCAAGAGACAAAGATGGATATAATATAATGGTAAAGGGGACAATCCATCAAGAAGACATAATGCTTAATATACATGCATCCAACATAGGGAGCATCAAAGTGTATAAAGTAACTTCTAACAGACCTAAAGGGAGAAATTGACAGCAACACTATAATAGTAGGGGACTTTTAACACCCCACTTACATCAACAGACAGATCATCCAGACAGAAAATCAACAGGGAAACAATGGCCTTAAATGAAACACTAAGCCAGATGGACTTAATAGATACATATAGAACGTTCCACCCAAAAGCTGCAGAATACACATTCTTCTCAAGTACACATGGAACATTCTCAAAGATAGACCATTTATTGGGACACAAAACAAGCCTCAATATATTTAAGAAGATTGAAATCACATCAAACATCTTTTCCAACCACAGTGGTATGAAACTAGAAATCAACTACAAGAAGAAAGCTGGAAAAGTTGTAAATATGTGGAGACTAAACAACATACTACTAAACATTTATCAGACTAAGAAGAAATCAAAAAATATCTGGAGACAAATGAAAATGAAAATACGACATTCCAAAACCTATGGGATTCAGCAAAAGTGGTCTAAGA